CAGTTCATGGATAAAGGAACTCACACCATTCACAACCAAGGACTCGTTGTACCGGGGTGATCTTTCACTTCATTTCACCACTGGAACCCCTTTTTGCACTTTCATTCACATTTTCCTTTTTTTTTTTTTCTTTCACTTAGCAGGGGTTCCAATTGCAGTCTTTTGCACGGTCGACCCTTATTAGTAGAGCAAGAGCAATTTCTGTACACCTGGCGCTCGCCTGGGTACTTCTTTTAACTCCTTTTCCTCAACTCGTGTGGAGGGTTAATGAAATTAAGGGGGGTCGGAAGCTCTATCCGTGCCCTTAAAAACAAATCCTCGAGTAGGCAAACCGTTCAACGGGTGGAAGTTTTACTTGTACTGGAGACAGCTTAGCTTCACCTTGTAGGAGTGCCCCACTAAGGATCACTAAAATCTCTTCCAAAACCCGATTTTGTGCAATGAACGGTGCCACACACGTTGGGCTTACCCCATGTTTAAGATTTCAATGAGTTCGACATGGAGGACCAACTGCTTTTCATTTCTCACATGAGCACCCTGTTCGATACACGAGTCATAACACAATCCAAACAGAGTCCACATTACCACATGAATTCAACGGTCTTAGCTCCGCTAATACACAAAATCAACTGACATAGCATAGAGCTAGATAGGAAAAATCTTATACTTCAACATCCTCCATAGTGCTACACTACCTCCCTAGGTTGCACATTACTATAGAGACTGACGATTCAAAGCATACTGAGCAGGCAATTTGCAAGGAAACACGTACTTGGAGCCCTCAAATTTAAAAATTTGGACAGTGGACTTGGCTCCAAGTACACAAACAGCCAAACATTCACCCGCATACATAATCGAACACCCCCCCACACTTAAGCACGACATTGTCATCAATGGAGGAAAGATAAGGAGGGTAGAACGAAGTTACCAGATCAAGGGTGAATGATGATGGACGGGTCAGGCGGTGCATTCCAGGAAGAGAGAGTAATCAGAACACAAACACCACACAAAATCTCACAAAGGTTGAGTTATTGACTCTAAAATCAAATAACAAAACTGACTCAAACGAGGAGAAATAGAGAAAGAAATACAAACCGATTGGGTTGCCTCCCAACAAGCGCTTCTTTCACGTCGTGAGCCGGACGATGGCTCCTAAGTTTCGGTCCATGCTATAACCTCCTTGAAGTTGAGGTTCTCGTCAATGAGGTGGAGTCGCAAGTCACGAGCATGTGGTATGACTGGTGATGGAAGCTCGTGCACTTGATGCATATGAAGTCTCCATCCTCGAGACCTCTTCTTCTCTTCTCTCGTCTCATTGCCCCAAACCATATAAGACAACATCGATTGACCACCCTCGCGTCCACCAAGAGGGACCGATGTCGGTGTGGCCTTGGTCTGGCAAAGAGACATTGCAAATGGGTCCTTACTAAGCAGTTCCTCGAAGTTTGGTGGGGATATTACTTGCAACTCATGGCCGGTGCAAGCCTCTTCCACCTTAACTCCGTCCTCAGCCTGGACGCCAATTGCTTCTTCAACCTCCCTTTCTTCTTCATGTGGTATCACCCCTGGGAAATGATCAAGAACTCCTCCTGCTTCACTTTCGTCATCCTCCACAACTTCTTTCTGCACCCTTTCTTGCTCTTCTTCTTCTAGCACGGATTGGAGAGCAATTTGCCAAGCAATTTCTTTCATGAGATCTTCTTGCATCTCCTCACTCATGCCCGCCTCTTCAAAGCTCAGTTTGGGATGTGGGAAGGTGTGGTCGGCTACGACAGGACATTCTTGATCATGATCACCACGGGAGCTCTCTGTGACAACTTCAGTGTGCTCCACAATGCCCTTGTAGCCTTCTTCTTCCTCCTCCTCTTCTAATATGGTAGCAGAAGGGTGATCTGGAGCAGGTTGTACACAAGATCGCTCAAGATCATCGACGCTCTTCTTAAGGCTCAGGAGGATCTCCTCTGTTTCATGATAGGCCTGGATACAATGATCCATCCTGGAGCATGATCTCTCACTGTCTCGAGCAAACTGCTCCATGAGAAGCCTCAATTCATAGTTTGGATCTGGCTGTGGAGTGTAGCATGGCTCTCCAGAATGGCCCGTGAAGGCCGCCATGGGTAACTCCAGCTCCGACGGCCCTTCTGGTTGTGGGAGAAAGTCTTCTTGATAAGGAGGTTGTTCTTGATATGCCCAGGGATCTGATTGTTCTCCGTAGTAAGGGGGTTGGTACTGGAACCCGAATCCATAGTCTTCTCTTCCTTGATTGCTCCAGGGGGTCCCGGGGTAATACCACTCGGATGGTGGTGGGTACACCCAATGATTGGAGAAGCCATTAGGATCCATGATTCAGATATGCACCAACAAAAACAAAAACACCCAAGTGAAAAGCAAGGGTGGAAAAGAAAGGAAAAACGCTAAAGTAACAAACTTCTGCCTTTCCTAATAATCTAGAAAGTCCCCGGCAACGGCGCCAAAAACTTGACAGGCTAAAACACAACACCTAACAATGGCCAAGTGTAACCAATGAAAGGGACTGCAGTATAGTGGCACAAGTAATAAATATCGAATCCACGGGTCTCTAGAGTTACTATTACTCAGCTTCAGTTCATTATCTAGCAAACTAGATTAATGATTGATTTATAAACTACTCTACTGACTATTCTACTAATTACAAGTTGGGAACTCACTTAGGTATGATTCCCCCTAGCTTCTCAATTAGGTCCAAGTTGCAATTACCTTTGGTTGATCTACTGTTGATTAAACTGCGGAAGATCCAACAGTAGCTTGGAATCTCTTAAGCTGACCAAGCCCTCTCAGTCCAACTACCCGGCAGGCGACTAACCTTCACCGGGATAGAAAGCTGAGGCTATAAACACAGAACTCCACTACCGGAATTGGATTCCAGTACAATGCAGTAGATTGACTAACTCTCGTATAACCAATTCACCACTATCAATCAAGGAAGCTCTCTTAACCTAATCAGATTCTATCTATCATAGGTTAAAGTAGAAATCAAGAGAATTTGATCAAGATTCAATTGACTCAATAAATCATGCCTCAATCGATTATAATCAAACAATATAGCATCCAAAACTTCATACAAGAAAGATCCTAACACATGGAACTAGGGTTTCTCAAAACCTAAGTGAAGGGAAGTTACTCCATAGAGAAGAGAGAGACTGCAGAAATCTGATCTAGATCTTCCATCTCCATCTCCAAGCTTGATTCCCGAGCTCCAATGGCAAAGAAATCCTCCAAAATAGCTCCAAGAATGTTCCCAAGTCGCTCTCTCTCTCTAGGGTTCGTCCCTTGGGTGTTTGGGAACCAAAAACCCAGCTCTCCCCTTTCCTTTTGCTGAAAATCGGGTTTTAAATAGAAATTCCCAATCACGTGGCCAGGCCACACAGCCGTGTGGCTTTCCCAGCTGCCCGTGTGAAGGCTCGGTTATTTCCAAACGGCCACGACCCACACGGCCGTGTGGAGTTCCAGGATGCCCGTGTGGCTTACCCAACCTCTATTCAATGCTTCATTTCTCCCTCGTCCGAACTTCGAATCAATCGCCGTTTGATCCCAGATGCTCGTAGTCTTGTCCTCTTTCTTTTCATGACAAAATTCCATGATTATTTGTCCATAATATGAGGTAGAAGTCCATTATTCCTCAGGTCATGCTCGTGTTTCTTCTCCCGAATTGCCAAATGATCTCTGATTGACTTGAAACTTGCGCCTATGCTTCAATTTACATGCTAGGACCTGAAATGTGACAAAGGAACACAACCTAGCGTAAAATAGTCCAAGAAAGCAGAAACTCAAGCCAAAATGAAGAAGAAACGAGGGTGCAAACATGTGCAAATCAGATGTTATCATCGACCCCAATTTCCAGATTGGAAACTGGACTATCTCCAAAATCCCCATTCACAACGGATTGACCCTCTTCAACATTGCACTCCACATATGGCTGTAACAGATCTTGAGATCTTTCACATGGTATCCCATAATCTTGGAGAACCTGTGATGAAGAACCCACAGCTGCTTCCTTCTCCAACACAACCAAGTAATTGTCTTCGAACTCGAAAACCATGTACCTTCCTGTGCATGATGATCAATGGTGAAATCCGAATGTGAGAGAAACAGATGATAGAACAAGGGGTTGAGGTACAAGAGGGAGATGCAAGCATTATTCGTGCCTTACAATCAATTAGGTGGGCTAGATGGTGTATGTTTCTTATACTGGTACCGTTGAATTTCAAAACCTGCAAGTTTTTTTGTTCGTGTTTGTTGTGAGAGTGGATTCGGGAGTATATTGTTGCAGAAGGGTTGACTGAAATGAAAGATCAAATAGTTTTTGCTACCTGTTGATTGCCCATATCCTCGTATCCAATGTTGACTTCATTTGCTAACACCTACAAGTTAAAAAAAAAGAATCAAATTAAAACAGTAAGCTGGATACAACTTCCCCACCCGAAAGAACAATTCACAACGCAAAGGGATCATTTTTCTTTTGCATTGGAATCGCCTCCATCGATTCAACTTGATGGTACCTGTTGGTGCATCCACTTGATCAAATAACCAATTTTCCAATCAAATGCAGCTGTCCAACATCCAATTTCTACCTTTAAAACCTAATCTCAAATTGATATAGACCATACTTCACTTCTTTCTTTTGCATTCCCAGTTCTAGAGGCGTTCTGTAATGTGAAATGCCAAAACCTCATGGGATCACATCAGTTATTAACACTCATACTTTTAAATACCAATAAAAGATCAAAAAGTTGTGAGACTGCTTAATTATTTCACTATCATTCTACTCTTTGCTTATGATGACAACTCAAACAGATCTCTTGCCAATTGAATAACATAAGTAGGGGTGTATAAAGTTTAAATGTCGTAAGAAACCAAAAGAAGAAGTCTCGATCTCATCCAAAATGTGGGTTAGGGTCAGCTAGTTCACCTGAGATAGGATCACAATTTGTTCTCCTTTAAACTTCGCCGACGAGCAACGCGCCTTTGTTAAAAGCTTCAACTGTAAAAGAAAATAGATTCATCGGAAAACAAGCATCAGAGCACATATAGTAAGAAACTGTTAACTATTATTAGTTTGGAGAACTTAGAGCATACTCCGATGGAATCTTCACATTCGTCACTGCATTCCATGAACAGTAAAGTTAGTTTAATAACCAAGAGACAACAAAATAAATGAACAATGCATGCCATCACAGGGATTGACATTGAGTAAAATTTCTTACAACAGGAAGGAACACATACTCTATTAGTGGTTCCGAGAGAGGAGTAAACACTAAACCAGCGGTTATCAAGTAAGAAGGCTGATCGCCATCTACATCACTACATGATAAGGCACCTTAAAAGGGAGCAACATAAAAATGCAAGTTAGGCTGTAAACACAATACCCTAAAGCTAAGTACTAGTTTCAAGTTCCCATGTATTACCAAATGAACTCTTGGATTTAGGACCACTTGAACTTGCATGGATTCACCATTTCTGATAATACCAAGCTCTGCTACATCACCTGCAAATCTGTATAAGAGCATCAATACGTATTCAAAGATGAAAGAACTGATTATATATCAATTCAAGCAGAAAGAAGAACAAGAAGGCAGAGCCAGCACAAACAATTATTTGCCAAGCTAAAAATACTTTACATTTGACTAATAAGGAAACGGAATGCAATGCGCTCATTTGACCGGAACTGCACAGTTCCTTCACACCCTACTTTAATGTTATCAGAGCTCACAATCACATCACCCTGAAAAAGAAAATAAAAGGAATAAATATCCTCAGTATTTGCCAGTTATGCCCCAGGGTTTGACATGTTCTTCCCAAAAACTTAAGTAATAGTTTGGGACTGCATAAAGCATGACCAGGTTCAGAAAACTTTCCATGTCACACTAAATATAAACACTCTATTAAATCTGTCAAAAGGTTTTTTGGGTATCTTTCCCAGAAACCAAATTTAAACAATTATGCAAATCAGTAGGGTTTGAACAAAAATAGCAAGCATACCTCTTTTAACACTCTATTTGCTTCAGATGTTGGTTAAACTCTCCGTACAAGCACACCCTGCACAACACAGATTAGTTACTCTCAACCAGATACATTAAAGTGGCAGTACGACAAGGATGGCACCTGACTACATGGAACTTTCAAACACTCCCTTAGTGCTGGGTTCTCCAACTTTTGCAGTAATACACCAAGCGAAGGAAAGCCTGTAAGTCACGTGTTAAGAGGTTACACCGGACCTCGTAATATACATTTATGGTTACGTGATTAAGGTTATAATATGTTTCTGGGGTCTGCTTATATAATAACAAGTTCTAGTTAGATTATATCATTCAAATCACAGGATAATGAAGCAGGTCTAGCAGATCAGCAATCTATGTGAAAAGCATCCTAAGATACAACTGTTCAGAAAACCTTAAGAGGATTACAGGAATATACATATCAATCAGCAATTGCGGGATATGCTTGTTTAAGAAAATTTGGAAAAAAATAGTGTGTACAATATTAATGGTGAAAGATATACTAATAAATTGCCAGTGTATTTCTGATTCCTCTCATAGTCACTCAAGAAGTGAGTGACCACAGTTGTTGGAATGACATATCCAATATTTTCAGCCTCTTCAGATCTGTAAACCTAAAGGAAGGAGCTCCTCGTTGGAAATTGTAAAGAGAAACTGAAGTACAATAATGAACGTCAGTAGGGAACACAATGAAATATGACAATGTTCATCTTATATCTAAGGACATATTTCCGATAAAGAAGAAGAGAACAATGGACATCACCCTTAACTTGAATCAAGGACGTATAGGAAAGCACAATATCAGGTTTTTTTTATGATTAGTTCCAAACACAAAGAAGTTACAAATAAACATCAACAGCACACAAGAGAAACTACCTGGAACGCCACACCAATGCACTCCCCACAGTCATTGAATGCTGGACCACCACTATTACCTATAACCTAGCAAGCATAAGCAGCGGCCATCATAGAAATATAGAATAAAGCCTTGCAAAATATATGTTAACAAGATCAAATTGAAAACAAAGAGCTTAGAAACAATAATGATGGCTATTGACCAGGATTTATGGCTGCATCAATTTGAATGCCAAGTAAATCAGATGATCCATGTACATACGAAGTAACCTGAGAATGAGTTAACTGGACTCAACAACTTGGTACTTAGAATTTAATTAAAAGAAACCGTTTAGTAACCATCCAACAAGAAATTACTGTCGGAGAAAGTAATTGGATTTCATACACGAAGTCAGAGCCTACCTCTATCCGTGATACAACTCCCTTTGTAACTGAAATAGTATCGCCTCCAAGTGGATATCCTACTACAGTTACTGCTTCCTGCCCTCCAGAAAGGTAAGAAACGCATAATCAGAAAGCATGCACAACCAAAAATATAGAAAATGGCAAAAGAAGTGACTTTGACCTGTAGATGGGGCAAGTGACCCAACTGTAATGGTTCAGCCCCCTCCCAAAATTGCTCACTTTCAACAGCGAGCAAAGCAATATCACAATCAACACCCCTGGCCAACACCTGTTTATTATGTCATTAACGGGACCATGAGTTGCAGTAGCTACCAGTGCTTCATATACACATGCACAAATCAAACATCAAGAAAACGAGAGAATTCACAAAGTGTGTTATGTTAGCAACTCATATGATTAGGAACTGATCCGAATATCCAATCATGTGATATCACTAAACCACATATTTGTAAACAATCACATAAAGTGGCGGAGCCAGAAGATCGGATCATGGGTGTCGTTTTATATGATTTAAATATAAAAATAAAATAAATGTTATATATATGTCAGAGTAATTCCTTCATAAAAAAGCAATTAATAGAAGTGACATTTTGAATAAACAACTCTGACATGTTTTCGTATCTCAAAGATTGCAAGCAACATTCATTGTTTATACTCTAAAGTAAGTATCTTTCAATGCACCCCACTAAATGTATTTAATTGTCAATAATTATCGAAATTAACTTTATTGTTAATAATACTTCATGTACTAACATAGAAGTCTAGTGTTTGAATCTCTTATATGCATGGGGATCAATAACTTTTCCCAAAAATTTACGGGTGTCAGCTGGGCTGGCTCCGCCTGTGATCACATTGTGAGTTTCTTAACCCACTTCAAGGTTGTAGGCTCTTAGGCCTATGCACGTTATTGAGAACAAAAGTGTATAAAATTAAAGTACTTTTTTCCTAAAGGGATCTTTTTATGTTTCAATAGGATTGAATACCTTGGCCACATACTTCGTGTCATCTCCCCTTCTCTTCACTTTGACCTGTCATCAAAATTCATGAAAGAATAAAGATTTCATGTTTATTCATATGTCATATTACAGATAATACGTGAACATTTATTGGCAGCAAAAGTTTTTACTAAAATAAAAAACTTTTGTACCATCATGACAATATCAAAAAAATACCATGGCAACGTAGTGTATCATGATCGATAAATCTGACAGTACTTGGAGAAGCAACAATATCACAACCCACTTATCTTAGATCCTAGGTCCCCTTAAGGGGGCTGAAATAAAAAGGTGCAGCTATAGAAATTGCAGCAGAAATTCATGAACAATTAGTTATGATTCCTTATCATTCACCAACTACTCTTCTTGCTTAAGGACACATATTGAGCACACTCCCACTTCAGCTCATGTTTCCTACCTCGTGATATCGTCATGATCACCGTTGCAAGTATTGAATGTTCAGACTTTTCTTGGTCTCTAGCAACATCAAATGGTGACAATAATGAACACAAAAAGGACACTTTGAAACGCCATGACATGAATTTGGAAATCGAACTACCTGTGTTTGATATTCGACACAATGTGCATTTGTTAGAAGTTTCCCGTTCCCTATCATAAAAGCACTGCAACAGGACATAAAACGAAGGCATAAACCCAGAGGCACCACATAAAACTCGTGGTTCAAATCATACCAGAAGTGAAGAAAAGTTGAATTGAGTAGGAAGTTATTTGAACTTCACCTCCCAGTACTTGTAAATTGCCTTTGTTTTTGCCACGGGAGACAATAATCAGGTGTCGTATGGGTGCAGTAAACCTGGAAAAACAAAGAGCTTCAGAGAATTGGGAAAAGCTGTGATTTGTGATAAAAAGAAAAGACACCACATAGGAAATGCACTGACCCTCCATTTCCATTAAATGAAAGGGCGGGGTATTATCTAACCTTGACTACCGCATTTAGGAAAGCTGCACCCTGAAGGTTCCCAGCTCCGACCTGCATTAGTACCAGCACCACACATCTGGATGACGATTATGATGCAAGAGCTAAACGAGAACGCAAAACACCATAGGAGCTCTTATGATGGACTCGCAGAATTCTCATTTTAAAATTGAATGCGAACATGGAAGTCAGAAGAAAGGTATCCAGCGTACCGGTTGTTCCTTCAAATCAAATTGAAAGCTCTTGTTATCTTTTCTCTGTGCTCCAAATGGCTTAGCATTGCCACTTTTGGCATCGGCTTGGAAAGGAGAAGACCTCTCGTCTTTTGCTCTACCAGCAGATTTCTTCTGAGAAACGGCCTTTCTCTGAACGCCACAATTCAAATAAATACCCAACAAGACATTGCAAACACGGACAAAAACACTGAAATTTACAGGAGAAGAAAGACTTACATCCTTATTATTGGTTCTGTCATCAGGAGAACCGCGCTTTGAGTGCTTTCTGTTATGGTTGAAAGCTTTGGAGGCGACGCAGGAAACGGATGAGTTGGTGGCGAGAAGACGGCGTGAAGAAGAAGCAGAGCAGCGAAACCTGACGGTAGAGGAGATGGCAGATAAGCAGCAATTAGTCACTGCTATAGACATGATACGAGAGCGAGGCGACTTGAAGAGCGCGAATCGCCAAATGCACTTCCAGCAGAGGACTAACTTCCCTGCTGCACTAACATTCAACTTCCCTGAATGACCCTGATGGCCTGATCTCGTAGACCTTTGCTTCTTCTTCCCTTATCCTGTCGCTGTCTGCTTTGCGTTTTGGTTTCAAGTTGAAGATTTTAGGACTTTTTTTCCGGAAATACCCAAAAAAATTAATTTAAAAAAAAATACCATCCTCATAACAAATTTATGGGTGTGTCTACGGTGACATGCATGTCACGGTGACTTGCACTTTCCGGTCGACCTCAGTTAGGATTAGGTCGACCTCATATAGGATCTGGTCGACCTAATCTGTTGTTTCGGTGTAAAAACAGTTCATGGTGCCTACTTTGGATATTCATATCATACAATTGGCTAGATGGAAATTGAAGACTAATGACTTGTTTTGAAGCTGGAGTGTCCCTCTACAGATTGAAGTGATTGAGAGCTCGATAGGAAGTCCAGAAGACCATTTTTGAACCTCATCAAAAGGCTATGCCAAAACTGGGAAACTGCCTGGAAATGGCTAAGTCTTGAAACGTGTTTGTGAAGCCTATTTTGGAGCTCAATTCGAGAAGCATGAATGCGAGTCGAGTCCTGGAGCCTCTACCACGTTAAATTAGGTATGTTTTTATACAAATTCAAGGCATTGGATGAAAGATTGGGTATCTGTAAGACTTCAAACAAAAGGGTCGAAGTTGCTATGAAGGCTGTTTTTCTGGCAGACATCGATACCTCCTCCGTCCTATGGGTTGCATGCTTGCTCTATTACCCAGCTAGAGACCCACCGAAGGGCCAGCTCGCCACAATGGGACATCGACTCCTCGTCCACCTCCACGAAAAGAGGATCTCTCATACCTTGAATCTTGCCTTATGCTTAGTTTTCTCACTAACTCTGGGCATGGGAAGCCATTGGCTCATTTGATCATTGACCATCCCAACACCCCAAACATACCTTGATTCGGGCATAATTACACATGTTTTACACCCTCATATCTTGATGGTTTTACTTGGTTATCATCGCTCCTCGACCTATTTTAGGTTAGGTTGTGCTTCTATTGTCATATTTCAAGTCCTAGTATGTGTAGGAAGGTCCGGGACGAGTTTTAGGTTATTCGGAGGTCAAAACGAGCCAAAGTGGAGGTTGTGCAATGTTCATGGGCAGGAGGCAAATGTCACACCCTGAGGGGGTGAAAGTCTCCCCAAGGAGTGATGAGCAAGACTTCAGGGGAAACACTCAATTATCACGCTGAGGGGGGGTGAAAATCACCCCCAGACCGTGACGTTTGCATTTTCCAGCAGCCATTGTGCGTGTCGCGGGCCTAAAAATTGTCACGGTCCCGTGACCGTGAAAATCACCCCATGACCATGAAAATAGCCTGAAATGGTGTGTTTTTTGCCGATATTACCCTTTGCTTGCTATTATCACCCCCATGAATAGTGACCATGAAGTCGACACTGTCGGGAAATATAAAGACAGCAGTTGGGAGAGAGAGAGAGAAAAGAGAGCTGGTTTTTGGAGGATAACTTGGTTCTCTCTTTAGGGTTTTGACCCAAAATACCAAAGAGGGAGAGAGAGCTTTGAGAGATCTTGGAGTTTAGTTGGAGGCTTGGGTTTATCTTAGCAACAAGGATTCAATCCTAAAAGAAGAAGAAGATCTTGAGCATGTTTTGTAATCTCTCTTTTCTCTCTATGAACTAGACATCTTCTCTTAGGTTGATGAACCCTATGTTTAGATTTTGGATTAATGTTGATGTATGTAACAAATCCTATGTTTGATTGAGTTTATTATGTAAGTTTTGGATGGTTTTCATGAATTGCATGAGTTCTACATGCCAATTGAGCTTTTGACCTAGGATAGAGAAACTCGCCTTAGAGCCCACTTTTGGCATCTTCGGATCACTGCTATCATAGGTTGTTTGGGTAATTCCTGAGGGAGCTGATACGATCGACCTCCTATCCATGTATGAATCTAATACAAGCTAGACCTCGGCTTGTAGTTGATCAAAGCTCGCAGCGTCTCCAATCAACCAATGGTTTGGCTGATGCAGTTCTCACGAGAAAGAAACCCAGCCAAGAACAGGGTCTCGCTGGTAGGGTGCAACCGAAGATGCAACTTCAACACGTGGGAAGAGGCTTGCAAAGTAGGCTACCTGAAACAGTTAAAATGCTTACACAAAAATTAATGTTCTTCAGGTAGGTTTAGATTGCTTCTCCTTCAAGTAATTCCAACTTGTAGATTAGCCTATTTGGGATTATATCAGAATCCCTAGGTTGAATAGAGCACCTACCCATCCATCACTTCGCCGTTCCGGAAAATCCCAACTGAGTCGATCTCATAACGGTAGGATAGTGAGTCGATCAAGCTAGGATAATACGCAACATCGATCAAAATGACAGAACTAGGGGGATTCATACCTAAGAGAGTTCCACAACTTGTAATTATCTAGGTTAGTAGTTAGCTAGGTTAGTTAGTTAGGTTAGTTTTCCTAATCATTATTCTAGATTGGCGAAATAACGAACCCTAAACCTGAAGTAAGGTAAGTCTAGATCCCCGTAGTATGATACATTTTATTGCTTGCTGCCCTATCCTACACTCGGACATCGGTTATACTTGGTTGTCGATTGGGATGTGTTGTCAGGAACGAGTCATACCTCACCATTTGTGTATTCTAGATTATGATGCCCTTTTAGAGAGCATCGAACTCCACCATGTGCAAGTTTTTTCCACTACCCTCAGGGTGACATTCCAGGAATGACATATCTTGGGCTTTACCGGGAGACATCTAGGAGAATCTCCTCTAAGTATTCCCATGACCCTGTCAATGACCATTAGGAGTAGGCTTCACGGAACAACCCACGAGAATTCTAACCAGCCAAGTCTTTCAGCAAAAATATCACCCAAGGATACCATCAATACTCATCAGGAAAAAGAACCCCAAAAGGAGGTGAAGGATACAAGAGTCTTGGTAAGATCCATGTGAACATGCACTTGAAACACCATTGGGCATATGAAACTCAAGTGTCACAAGGAATTAGCTCCTCTAATGGCTGAGACAACCCACGTCACCTCATCATTCCTCGAGATCGAGACGGTTGTGGCTAGCTACATAACCGAGCATGCTCCGATAAAGTCAGAGGGTTTTGACGATTACCATATTCTGCTCCACCTACCACATGCTCGGGCTCCACCTAGTTCCTTTTTGTGCACTGAAATGAGATTGTCTGATTTCTCATGAACTGAAGTGCTATAATTAGTACACAGCAATGTCGAGGAAATATTTTTATTTTACCTAAAATCATTTTGTTTACTTACAAGTTTCAAACCACCCTTCATTACCAAATGTTATCCATTGCCACCAATTATGTTGACAATCGACATAACAAGTCCTATCAACAGAGTTTATGATGCCTTTGTCAGTCTTCACCTTGCTTCCATGGTTGCCACCTCTCTACTTAGCTACCTTTACTAGCAATCACCTCCAATACAGTGACCACCACCCAACCATCTTGGATAACACCACCAAAACAAAAATTTATCAGTAAGTCGTTGCCAAAAGTGGTCTCCTTCATTAGTTGTCACCAACCTCTATTGACGGCCATACCACCACATTTCTAGTCACTTTTCATATCGAGAAATGGCCAGAGTATCGAAATTCAAGTTCAACTCATTTAATCCATCTTTCGTCTCCAACGCAAATTCTTAGTCGTGTTGGGATCGTCACTCAGCATTTTCTCACCTCTCATATGATGTCATCTCATCCAGGGAGACAACATTGTCTTCTTACGATACCAAATTATTTGGTCAAGATCCCTAGTTCTCAAAGAATTCCCCCAACAACCTGAATCTCTCCAAGGTAATAAATGCATTCAAAAAGTATCTCATCACCGCCTCATTACCATTTCCCCTAATATTCACTCCTAAAAGTGAAGTAAAAAAAGGAATTGGGTTATTTTGATTGTCCATTTCATTTAGTAGGTATGTTATTATTTTCTTGCATCCCATAACATGTATGTGCTCTCAACCCAATCATTGCACATGGATGTTGGGTGAGAGGTTTATTTTGCATGCATATATTTTTTTTTTCACTTAGCTATTGCACTAAGGTTGTTCAATCCTTTAATTGTTACACTTCACAATTGGGGGAAAGTCGCCACTCAACCATTGCTCTTAACAGTTGAGTGAAGTGTAATTACCCATCTATTGCACTGAAGTTGGGTAATGAGTCATCTCTCAACCATTGTACTAGGGTTTGGAGAAAATTTAATTCCCTACAATAGGTGCAACATGAAAACATCAATTTGTGCCACTACAAATGAATTAGCTAAACTATCGAGCTAGTCTCTCCTATAACTCTATGATGTGCCAACCTCCTTTGAATTGTGTCATCGACAGATGAGATACATCAACCATTATCATTGTCTTCATTTCCTATTCACTAGAATGGCAATAGCTAATAGGGGTGTGATCGTATTTCTCCTTCCTCAACTCACCTATCAACACTATATATTTGTGTTCACCATGGATATTGTGGCTCAATTGCCACATTGTGTGATGCCCCTACAAAATTTTCATCTTATATTTCATAGTAAGTCTCACCCATACCAAAGTGTTCTCATCTCAGTGTTATCATCATGATCGATGCTACCCTGACTGTCATTGATGGACTCATCACTGCAAAAATAAATGCATGTGGGAAGCAAAACTAATATTCGTGGAAATATCAGACAAAGAGAATTCTAGCACAAATTATAACGAGGACGATGGAAAACCAAATGAAATATCGACAACAATGTCAGGGATCGGACGAGAATCGTATATGGCTAGAACCCATATCAAGATTTATTCGATGCCAATATTGGTACATCTGCTCAAGGCATGAACAAAATTTGTTCATTCTCTCCATTCATGAACAACATTGTTTCATCGTCTCCATTCAAGTGGACCAAC